CGGTACTTCGACAACAACCGATTTCGTATTGTGGGGGTATATGTTGGGGTATTCCATACAGCTTTATCGGTTTCATACCGATATTTCCCTTGGTATTTCGCAAAACACAGGTATCGGTGCAATACCGATATCGTCGCAAAATAAATATCGGTATTTCGACATCTGACATAGCACTGCCTGTACAAAATCGGTACGAAAGTGTATGAGGGACTTAAGTCCCTGATACAAGGCACCGAATCCCGACCCATCTCCGGATCGTGACAAATTCGAAACTAACCTATCTCGTACCCCGTCTGTCCAGAGTGACGGCGAGAAGAGCGACCAGGACCTGGTGGTGGACGATGCCAGCGAGGGACCAACGAGCCCGGTAGTAAACGGCACGACGTCGCCGCGGGAGAACGGGCTGGACAAGGTGGCGCCGATCGGCGCCGGCGTGCAGACGAAGAAAGACGTACCGCCGCATTCGCCGCGAAGCGGGACCAGCAGCAACGCCAGCACGCCGTCCGCGAAAAAGATGGAGGAGCGGGAGAAGCCCACGACCCCGATCTCAAAGCCGCTCACGCCGACCTCGGGGTCCGCGATCGGCGGCGGCCTCAAGCCCTCGGGATCGGCCAAGCTGCTCCAGGGACCGCCGCCTCCCGGTGTGCCCAGCGCTTATCCGCCCCACTACGCGCCCGGCCCACCGCCGCACCATCTGGCACCAGCTGGCCAGCATCCTCACGTAGACATGATGGGTTATAACGGCTACGTGGCGCCCAGAGCACCACCTTCGCTGCAGCAGCTATACGATCCCCACGTGGCCATGAGGGCCCCCATGGGATCCGTTGGAGTTCCCGGAGGCAAACCGTAAGTACCTACTCACGTACAATGCAAATTTCTAGGGAAATTTCATTCCGATATATGGCAGGTTGCGAATAATTCTTTTGTAGAGGAAGGCTGTCGCGAGTAATTTTTCGGGGGCGTGGAGGGTGGGCGGTGCGAATAATTTTATTTTGAAATAGGGGATCGCGAATAATTTCTTTCGGAAAAAATAGATAGCGAATAATTTTTTTTTTTTTTTTTTAAGAAAAAGGACGGAGAATAATTTTCTTCGGGAAATAGGGTTCGCGAATAATTTTATTTCGCAAATGGGAGATCGCGAATAATTCTTTTCGGAAAAAGGAGGTCGCGATTAATTTTTCTTTTTTTTAAGAAAAGGGATGGAGAATAATTTTCTTCGGAAAATAGGGTTCGCGAATAATTTCCTTCGAAAAATAGGGT